CCACAATTTGGCCAGCATTCCTATCGAGTTATCTATACTCTTACATGCAGTGTCTACAGTCACTAGACCTTATTTTTAGTTTTGCTACATCAGACTTCTCACGGTCGTTACGAAGGTCGTTTCACTTGTCACTTTGATAGAGAACGCAAAAAATCAGTGTTCTATGCGGGCTTGTCAGAACCGTATTACAATCACACACTCACGAGTCAGTTGGAATGGACGCGCTTCGATGCAACAGAGCAGTGTAACCAAACCATCCGCTACGGTTACGTTTACTCGGATTAGGAACTTTTTAAACTACCAGAAGAACACCCTACGATGATGAAGCTGGGAGAGCGCATCCAAAACCTGCCTCATTTCCGTTTAGGATGTACGGCGAGACTCTCGGGAGAGAGCTGACGTACCGCCACTTCCGAGGAAGCTCACGATCATGAGGGTTGAGCTCTTTTGTCGCTGGTTGATGAGCAAATGAGGGTCAGCCATCACGTGGAACACTTTGTGTATCCAGCCCTGCTTTGGAACGATTTGACCCTACGCACCTGCGGCCTTTGACCCTTTTTAATAAATAGACAGAGTTGTCCGTTGCAGCACGCTTCCCCAATACTGAGTGCTGACCAACCAATCGTATGGTGAGTGATACTCTCGATCGTTCATTCGTACAGATTTTTCATGGATAAACGAGGCTGCAGTTCAAGCGCAAATCGACAATCTACATAGAAATCTGCTTCACTGAAGCTGGTTTCCAAAGCCTTGAGATAAGTAAGACGACGTGTTTTTTCACCCCAATGCACAAAGTGAGTACGGAACCTATCAACATTCTTGCAACTCATAATACAAGGTAGAACATTCATGGCAGGGTTTTTCTACCGCTGCTTTTCGAAGCATAAGCGGTATTCCCGATGAGTATCGACGTGTGGGGCAAGGAAGCCATCGCGAAACGACAATCGTTTCGCATGCGGTGTGAGTAGAGGTTCCACATGCATAGGCGCGTACGGACTTTGCCCAAGTGCGGCGAGTAACATCAAAAAGAACTATTTTTCAAGGACGTTGCGACTCTTGCACTTGCACTTGCAGGCGGGTAAGCGGAATCCTGGAGTCAGATTTAGATCATTCGACATGAGCTGAACTTTGATGTAATCTTTGCGGCAGGGTGTCGCAACACTTCCCGCCGTAGCGAATGGTGAGTCGTGCCGAAAGAGGCAAAGCGTAAAATTTGCCTCATTCTCGACAATCGGCTGTGCCGTATGTCTCACAAAGAGGGCGTCTAAGAGCTGCTTAGGTCGCTCATGTTTTGATCTATTACCGAGAATATTCTTAAAAAATCGTTGACCGCACCAGAGGTACGAGACATATGACGTTATCAACATTTATACAACGTATAAACGTGGAAGCGGGTAAAGCTGATAGGTTCGTTGTGCAACAACATTTTTAAGGACCCACCCCGCACGCAGGCCTTATTGCCTGCATACCTGCCCTCGCTAAAGTTCAAGGGGATGGCTTTTAGACTTCTTTGGTGACTGACATGTAGAATGGAAAGCAATGAAAAAATATCATACACTAACTAAAGTGCCCTCCACTACACCTAAACAGCACAAACTGGAATATAACATCCACACCATATGAATTGTAGCAGCATGACGCGTGGCGCTTGCTGTCAAGGATACCTCTTTCACTGACAGGTGGTCATACAAAAGGGTCTGGGGAGGTATAGAGATACTAAAATCTGCTCTCTGACACCAAAAAATGGGTGCTATTGAGCAATATTTCATTTCGTGATGTAACTCTGTCGTAGTCCCATATGTTGGTGAACAAAAATGAGTAGCAATATTTCATACAAGCTCTCAAGGACCCGCACAAACTAAATGTCCGAGTGACTCACAGGTTACGAAGGGTGAGGAAAGTTTCGTCGAGACACGTCCTTACCGTGTCGATTTGTCGGCGGGTCGGTAAGACAAATCATTTTACGCTTTCGACCAAATGTTTCAAGGTAAATTTGCTAGCTCTCGATTTTGCAGCTCTCATACATGTATCATGGATTCTTTATGTCTGTCTGCTATGTTGCAAAGCTCTCTTTTTGGTCATGTGTGATGAGTTTCATTCTTAGATGCCAGCTGCTTCGAAAAAGGCTATTGTTTCGACACGAAGGCATAAAGTCAATACGAGCTTAAGATCACGAAAACCATGTCAGTCAGTCAATGGCATGCAGCAGTAACGGAATAGAGGTCTTCACTTCTCAATTTTGAGACTCGGTCCAACCTAAGCCTCAAGGACCATGGCTCCATCTCCATTCGAAATGTCGGATGTTCTATGTACTGTCAACGATTACCTGTTCCAAGCAACTACACGCCGTCGCATCTGCGTGACTGGTGCTGCTGGTTTTATCGGTTTCCACACAGCCAAGGCCCTGCTCGCGCGTGGGGATGATGTTGTCATCGTGGATGAAATGAACGACTATTATGACGTTAAACTCAAACAGAGTAACCTCGACTGGCTCACAACTACTTACCGTGGTCGAGTAAGCGTGTACATCGGCAATCTCTGTGACGAGAAGCTGGTGCGTCGTGTGATCAAAGAGACGAGACCTGAAGCCATGGTGCATCTGGCGGCTCGCGCTGGCGTGCGTTCTAGCATTGATAACCCACTCATGTACATTCACGCCAATGTTGTGGCAACAACGTTGCTGCTAGACGTGTGCCGCGAATTCGGCATCAAGAAGTTTGTATACGCTAGCAGCAGTTCGGTGTACGGCGGTAGTATGAAGGAAAAATTTAGTGAGACTGATATTGTAGACTTTCCCGTGAGTCCGTATGCCGCGACCAAGAAAAGTTGCGAGTTGCTAGCACACACATACCACCACCTATACGGCATGGACACTATTGGGCTGCGCTTTTTCACGGTGTACGGGCCACGAGGTCGTCCAGATATGGCTCCGTTTAAATTCATGGATCGTATAGCGCGTGATATCGCCATTGACCAATACGGCGACGGTTCTTCGTCGCGTGACTACACGTTCATTGATGATATTGTGCAGGGCGTCTTGCTGAGTCTGGACCGTGGTCGTGGTTGTGAGGTGTTTAATCTAGGTCGTGGCACACCGGCGCTGCTCACTGAATTTATTGCCATCATTGAGAGACTTGTTGGTAAAAAGGCTAAGATTAACATTCTGCCTGAACAGCCTGGTGATGTGCCTCGAACGAGCGCAGATATCTCGAAAGCGGAGTGTCTGCTAGGGTACAAACCAATAATTTCGCTGGAACAAGGGCTGGCAATGACGTGGGAGTGGTACTCAAAATTGTACACCGCTGGCGCCACTCGGTCCTTTTAATGTGTCTTTTCATCATCGAAAATGTGGTCCTGTCGTGTGGAAGTGTTGCATAATGAATGTTTTTTGTAATGTTGAAGCTTTGTTAAATTTCCTGACCAGACAGGTGTTGCATTTTCCGAAAGTTCGATGTCATAATCGTAGTGGTTATGAACAAGAAATGCATTCCACTACCACAAAATTTTGACGCAATAACCAAATTATGTTGCGTTGTAGACGTGCAAAGGTTATTGCTCCAGTGCCGCTTAACAGCTCGTTGCAATTCGCATTAGCGAATTCGATTAAGATATTTTGTCTGTACCCTTTACCATTTCGCGCTAATTTAAAAGGATTGGCCTTAATAATGTACTTAAACCTTCTTTTTATTGCATCTGTCCAGGATAGAGAGGATGCAATGATAGAGTTAAAATTAACTTGCCTATTTATATATGCGGGTCAAAACGGTGAAAGGCAAAGGCTACCCCGTGCACCTTGTTCTTAGAAATTACCGAGGATATCAGCTTCAAGGTCATCAAGCTAGTCGTAACAAGTAGCACAGATGATTACAAAAACGCAAAATAGAATGTTGTAGAAAGACGGACCTCTTCCTCCTCCTCGTCTAGGCTTCCAGGTTCCTTGTCAAGCGTTTTCGAAAGCACTCTTTTCAATCGCTTTTCGTCAGGCTGCTTAATGGTAGCTTCGGATTCCAGAGACCGTTTACGTTCGTTTATTCGTCGATAGACAAGCTGGTCTTTGACATTTGTCGATATTTTTTTGCGCCTTTTTTCTTTTTCGCACTCAAGCTCCTCTGCCTCCATAAGTCGCAAAAATGCATCGTCCATATCCTTATTATCAAGCAAGCCTCGTGATTTTGTCAGCTTTAATTAAGTAATGAGAAATCGAGGGCTTAACCATACCTTAAGTGGATATGCAGGACAAACAGGTGTAGTTTTCGCTACTTCAGCTTTCTTTGTATTCGCGCTAACACATGGTTCGCGTTTTGTCGCGTTAATTTTGAGCAAAAAATCAAATGTCCCTCCAGATGCCACAACACCAGTTGCATGGCCAACACTGCTACGAGGCCTTCGAGCTACTCGAGACTTTTTCAATATTCTCGACTTGTGAAATGAGCCATCTTCACAACAAGGCTTACCAGTGTCGTCCATAAAATTTGCAAATGAAACCTGCTTACTCCGTTTAGCATCTTGCCCTTTTCCCTTACAAAGAGTGCTAATAATTTTCTTTTCTTGACCATCAGGATTTGTACGAATAGCTAATGAAGGCTGACCACCGTTGGTATTATCATTGGCGTCTGTGAAAGAAGCGCTCTGAAATTCCCCTTTTGGGATGGTCACGCTCGTATGATCTGCCAACTTCTCGGTCTCCGTTTTCATGTGCTTTACCTTCCACTTGTCCGCAAGAAAACCCTGCTCAGAGACTCGAGACCATGAGCGAGCACATTTTACAATCCAATCAGGGGTTACGATGAATACCCCAGGAATCTTTTTTGCCTACAATTCATGAAGGCATCGCTTACTTGATCCAGAAAAGAATCTCTTAGTTTACACACCTGAACATATTTTTGCGTTCCTAACCGCTCTGGATGAATCACAAGATGCGTCAATGGGAAATTAGTGAGCGTCATACTGGGAATGGCTCCCAAATCCACTGCGAGACGCCACAGATAGTGCGACTCGTAGCATTGAGGGCCGATAATAGGGAATACTCCACTAAATACGATATGCAAGCCTTGCAAGATTGCATGCTTTTGCTAAAAAGCGTCATTAGCGTTAGACTATAAAAGATATCATAGAACTAAGCACGTGAACTCACCGCGCTCAAAATTGCCTTAGCATCGCGACTATTGCTAGCCAACTGCTCTTCAACTGTTGTTCCTTGCATTCCTTCTTCATGCCCAGCATAGAATTTTTCATGCACTCGCTACAAGTAAAATTGTTTGGATAGCTTCGCTTACTGCACAGTTCATCGAGTAGTTTTGGGCATTGCCCATGTATTACCTGAAGAATTGTGGCAGCTTGCGCAAGATGTCTGTCCTCGCTGTCTTCAGCCTCAGAATCTTTTACTCCTGCCAATCCTTGCCCGGATGCGTTATTAATCTCGGATGTGCATTTAAAATAGTGATATGGCTCAATCAGAAAGACATTTCCTTCATTTTCCTTCCAAACATCGATCCGATCATCAAGAACAAGGATCATAGAGTCGTTACACGACGGAAATAGCAGCTTCAGCGACTTGTGAGGCATATCGGGAATGTCTGTGCGTGCTACAATACGGTTTTTGAAATAGGTTTCATGCGGATCGATGATCTTAACAATCTGCTCCGCGTAAAGTCTCGTGCCATGGGTGTAAATGAATAGATCGTACAGCGCTGAAAGGTTTGTCAGAAAGTCGGCCAATCCAGGGCGAAGCTTTACTACGTGCTGCTGTGCAAGGCCCGGAATAAAGAAGAAGTATATATCATCTGCTTGCACAAGGTATATATCCGCCACATATTAGCTTACTGAGCTGACAGCTCTTAAACAATACCAGCTGCCAACCTGATTGAATAATTTTTTCTGTGACGTCATCAACACGCACAGCATGCAGCAACGTGTGATCAAGATCAAGCACCAGCGACAATTTCTTCGCACCAAGCTGACGCCGAATATTATCCGAGTCAAATTTTCCTGATCATATATTTAGCTATCACCACAACTTAAGCTCAAATATTGTGATGCATGCAACCTACGTGCTTCCTCGGCATTCAGTCGAATTACTTGACCATGAGACACCACACTCACACTCCCCGTGTCTTCGTTTTCTTCGTTGTCCTCCACAACTGCCAGGCACATTAAACAAGTACGACCGTTTCGTACAGGGTGAACACAATACTCAACAAAAGCCACTGTCCGTCTAACAGTCTCTACAGCTTTGTCATAATTGATCAAAAACTTATCCGACTGATCCTTGGTCAGAAAATACAGTCGTCCATTGCACGGGGCCTGGATCAGTCTCTGCGTGCCTTCTTCCAGACGCCCTGCACATCCAATCTTCTGTCCTGCATACACCTCTCCACCAGCGTTGACATCCCATTTAATTAAGTCCCATGAATCTATGTCACAACTAACGGACTTGCGTCGAATATGGGAGCGGTCATCTTCTCTCTCTTGCTGCCTGCTTACACTGTCCTGCTTAACATTTCTATCAATGCGTTGTGTGTTCTGTTCCTTGTTTGTCGATTTTAAAAGTTTTTTTTTTTTATTCTTCAGTATCTCCTCATTTTTTGGCTTCTTGTCGCCATCAACAAATGCTTCCGCCTCAATGCGACTCTTCTCCACCTTTATACTACCAGTCTCCTCCTTCATCGTTTTTGTCTCTGCGTCAGTATTATCGACTAGGATGTCATCAGCCTCCATTTTCTCGCAGCATTTGTTCTTCTCCACATCCACTTTAGCCTGTGCGTTGTCTGTAACCTCTTCCGTCTTAGTACTCGCTGACTCTTCACGCTTTGAGCAATTTGTCGCCATCGAGTGTTTTGATCAAAGAGAGCTAAATGTACAACACCCCCTCACATTCGTGTAACCTTCTTCTTACTACTTACTACTTTTTGAGTTGAAGAAATTCGAAAATAACGCTGCTGTGCAGAAGACGAGAGTGCGGAAGTGAATAATAGCCCGGATCACATGACAAAACCATGGGATGACGACGTTGACGGTGCTTGGGCGCCAGGCAAGGCGCCAGTAAATGTACTTACGACGTTTCTTAAGTGCGTTCATGAGCGAGACAGTGTTGGAGCCGAACAAGCTGCTCTAGAGAGTATGAAATACAGCATTAATATTTTTTGGAGCCGAGGGATGAAGTCTAACTTGGCGTGTTTGATGTCCAATGGAGTTTTAAAGACAGAGCCAAACAACCTTCTCGTACGAGATCTGCTTAATGTCATAAAGCAGCAAGATGTTATGGGTGGGTCCGAAATAAAGTCTTGACGCCGTTGAATCAAGTTGATTCTGAGTTTTGTATGTTTGTTTGGCAGATGCAGAAGAGACTCAATCAATTAATTCCGAATTTAATGAAAATTTAGAGTCGGAAGACGACGGATCGGATGAAGTAGACTTCGATGACTTGGGTGAAGACGAACACAAGGGAGATATTAAAGGTAGATGCTGATGTAAAAGGCAATATTTAGAAACGTTTTTTTTATTCAACTCGCAATTCCGAATAGTACATAGTTGCAGAAAAAGTTCTTTTGCAAATGGTATGAGCGACAAAGGACAAAGCAGTTTGGAAAGCGAGACTCTACTTTTATCAACACTAGAAGTGCGTGTCAACAGAGCTTCAGAAACCAATGTTATTCGATGTACTGTAACTGATCAAGTGCATCGATTGCATTTGACAAAAGCGCTACCCTGCGGGTATTCTGCATGAGCTTATGCAAAAGTCATTATTCACTTTTTTCAGTTGCTAGTTGCCAACGATTACTAACGTATACTCAGAGAGAATGAAGGTTGCACCAATCACTCAATAATTTACAATTAATCTGATGCTGACCTCTCCTGGCTTGATCTTGCTGAGAAGTACAAAAGGGTGCTGCAACTGCCGCGAACGGCGAATATCGAGTCGATACGCGGTCTCTTCAATCCTTTGAAAACCACCCGTACGTGTATTTAAGTCTGCGCACCGTCGAATCACGATGACTAATTTACAACGATCAAGGGCGGCAGAAGTTGATGATAATGCTGACACTTCGATATGAGGTGTGGAAAGTAGCACCGTCTTTCGTTTAGTGTTACAGCAGCCGCTTCTAACCTTATCCTGCTTCGATTGCGGTCGGGTCAGGGATGAATGTAACGTTAACAATTCTACACCCATCATGCTTGCTTATTGAGAACTAAATTTTTTAAATTAGATAGTTTGTACACCTGTTAAATCGCATACTGATGTCTCCCAACCAATCAACCAGAAGGAGCAATTCAAGTATTTAACATGCCAGCCTTCCAGCAGCAAGCAATCGTGGACTTCATGACGACCAAGTATCCCACGACTACGCAGCAGCAGCTTCAAAGTGTGCACAATAATCGAGGCTTCTGCGATCTGACCAATGTCGAGTTGCTTGAGGCGTACTTAGCAGAGCAGCTGCAAAACAAAACCGTGGACATCGATGCTAATCTGGCGTTGCTCAAGCTGTATCTGGTTTATCCCGCTACGGCTAACGCTACGGTTGTGGCCAAAATTCTAGCAAAGGGAATAATGGCGATACCCTCAACCTTCTTTTCCGGCGCCTCCACGATGATCCCGGAAAACATTCGCGAGGTACGATTCGAAGAAGAAAAAAAAGAATATTGATTAGTTTCGAGTGACAGGAATAACACGATGGTCCTCTTTTAGGATGCAGTTGTGACGAAAATGCTGCGAGCGGGTTTTCTGCTTCAATCGTGCTTATTCGAGGATTATTGGAAAGAAGAAGTTGCTCTTACCAAGGAGTTGCCAGGTTTTCTGGATTCGGTACGCGCCTTTATTCTGACAGCCGTTAGCCATAGCCACAGTGCCATCTCTATTGAAGTCTTGGCAGCAAAGATTAACGTTTCTAACAAGCGGGTACCGGAAATAGTTGCTGGTACGTTGCGTCGTTATACCAGTATAATTTATAAATAATTGATGTTTTGTTGCTCTCGCAGCCGAGAAGTGGACGCTTGCTGACAACGTGATCCAAATAAGCCCGAATGAGGAAAATCAGATGCAGGCAAAAAAAGTTCAGGAGAATATCGAGTTCGAGGACGTGCTTAATGTCATTCATGTCCTCTGTAAATAAATGTGCTGCATTATTTGATGAATGATGGTGATCAATAAACAATCTAAGCAAATTCGAGCTTCCGCTTCGGCAGAGCAGAACTTGACTTACTGAATGCTCTATTTTTGCGTATGCTGCTTTGTTTGAGCTTATTGATGTGCAATTAATAACGAACTAATATGGTTCGGTAGCCGCTATTACTTATACAAACGTGTATATCGCACGTGGTAAGTTTTTAATGTCATATTTGTGTTCCGCTCTAACCGCTGGCATTCACACAAACAGTCCCGTCGGACTGAGCAGCCATGAGTGAATCCATCATTCCCACCATGCTTAACACCTGCTTCTGTACGCGTACCTCCTCCTTAAGCTTTTCACAAAGCTTTACAAACAAGCCGTCAATGAGCATTGACTGGCTAAGCTTCGGTGCGTACAAGTCGCACACAATTGTGCACACGTGAATCAGCAGTGATGCATACTTCGGATCAGTCACATATTTGATTAAAAAAGCCAGCAAAGGCTCGAGGGATTCCTCATCGCGTCCTCCAAGCGCACGCTTCAATCCAACACGCAAGCGAAGCTCTTCGAGTATGCTAGCTACAACGACAGGCGAACGAGTGTCCAGCGCCTCGTTTAGCGCTTTCTTGTACTCAAATTTTCGCAAAGCGCGATCGTACGGCTGTATCCGCTTATGACGAGAAGTGGCCACCGTGTAATCTGCAGCAGTCGGCTTGGAGTTCTTGCCGCGCAAAAAATACTTATAGCTTCCACCACGAATGATAGCCTGACGAGTCGTTATGTCATTCTGCTCGACCCGTCTGACGGTGCGACGACGCACAGCGAGGATACCATCCACCGTGCCAGCAAGCAGGTGTGAGTTGGTTGGTAACATGCCGAAGGAGAGCACACCACTTTTGTACTTAAATCCATGTGTAAGCTCGTATGTCTTCACATCGTAAATCTTTAGGTGCCCATCCAGCGAGCCCGACATCAAGCGCGTACTCGTTCCGTCCAAACTTAGGCTAGTGATGGTTTTCTGGTGGCTTGACAAGGAATGCAGCATTCGTCCGCCACTAAGAATATCCCAAACTTTAATTACGTTACCACCGGCCGAGAGTAGCAGACTACCACCCGGCATGATCATGCACGCCTCGACTGGAGCACCGTGATCCAGACATATGATACTCTTGGACACTGTTTGGTCCGACGTGCGCAAGTCCCACAGCTTCACCGTATGGTCGTACGAACCCGTAGCCCAGACATTGTGGGACGACGGACTTATAGCTGATGAGCGCACATAGTCTGAGTGTTCTCCTAGCAGAGTCAGAGGTTTACCAGTGGGCAGGTCCCAGTACCGAGCAGTTTTATCATCCGAGCATGAAAGCACATGGACGTTGTCGGTTGAGAATCGGGTGCTACGAACTGCAGCTGTGTGACCCTTAAAGGAGCGCAAAATGGCACGCGTATTTATGTCCAGCACCTGTACGAGCGGAAATTCACCGCCGGCAACTAATAGTTTACCATCCGAGCGAAACGTTCCAGAATATACGACGTCTCGAAAGCGGCTAAATGTTTTCACGATCTCGTTTGTCGTGGTGCTGTAAAGGTGAATGCGAGTTGAAGACGTGATAGCTACTTGGTGCGGCGCCACGGGCGACACGTCAATATGCGTAACAGGGCCAACTTGCTGAAATTCTTGCGGAGCATAAAATTTTTTCCAATACAAGTGCTCGGCTGATTCAACTTCATTTGCCACTGGGAATTGCTTGAGCACCAGTCGCTTGAATTCGCCGCTGGTTGCCATCCAGAACTTTTGTGAGCCAGCAAGAGAATATTTGTGCTTTTCCAAATATTCTTTTTGATTTTCTTAATATCCATACAATCAAACATTAACTCTGATTGGCCGAACATAATGGCCATTAAAAAAATACTAGGGACCACATCGCTAATTGCTAACTCTGTCCGGCATGTTCGCTCGGGCCTTCCGTCAAGTAAACGTAACTTTCGAAGCAACGGATCTTCCGCTTTAGAGCGTTTCAAGTACTCTGAGATAATAACACATGGAGGACGGCTGCGTATGCCTTGTCACTTTAAAAATTTGCCCTCCTTTGCTCTTACTCAATTTTAGTAGTGAGTCTAATTTAAATCAGGATTTGATTTGTTGAATTATATATACGCTCTATAACGCACAACAGCTCACGTATCCCACCTCCACGGCCTCTGCGTACACATATGCAAGCTTTGCACAATCGCACACGAGTATGTATGTACAGCATGACACGGTATACACGGTAGAAACCATACCTTGTTACATCAACCCGAGATGTGAACCACACTGTGATTTACATCTTGTCTACAACTGAGAAACATTTGCATGTACACTATAATGCGGTGCGTACTCTGTTATACCTTCGTCCGACAAGATGTGGACCGCAATGAGGTTCACGCATATCTTCAAGACATTGCGCAAACGTCGACGCTTAACGAGTACTCTTCGTGTTAATGTTTAGCTCGACCTACTTCCATCTTACAGACCTGCTCTGTAACTGGAATGGCCCGTCTGTATTCACGCACTTACTGAGGAAGACTTAAATCAGTTAGCACGGTTCACCGCGTGTTGCTCACTCCTAGGGAGCCGTAAATGAGGAAGAAAAGGTGAGAGACATTCATTATGGCCGATAGACCTTAAACCGCCCTAGGCATCCGAATTGGATATAGGATATACAACTACGCAGGATATATAGTTGATATTGACCACACAGATAAGTATGTGGCTCACTCGACATGTGCGATGGGACTGGTCCCATTTCACCACCACCCCACTCAAAGTGGGTTTACCCACATTTTCCTCGAGCTTTCTCTAACTCTGAGACTTGGTGATTCGTTATCCCACACAATACAAGCCGCATCGAAGACAACATGCGCCGGGGACAAGCGCAGAGCAAAGCCACACCTCAATCCGAGCATGCGAAGGGGCCTTTGCCACCAGCGAACTTGAATGATCACCCAATTCCAAGTCGAATGGCTTTTTTGCACGTTGAGCTAAAACCTGGCATCAAACGACCAGCTTGGGCGGATGACAACTGCTATGGAGAGCCCACCGACGAGTTTGATCGTCCAGTGTGTTTGCAATTCCGTGAGATTGATCGTCGTCACGAATCTTACGACTGACGTGGTGGTGCCACTTTAGAGTTTGACGAACTCTTTTGTCGAAGTTAAGCTTGAGTGATGATTCTAAGTGCATATTTTCGCACCTTCGGACCGATTACACGGGCTAGAGAGAATCACGAAGTCGCATGTATGAACCGTACATCCTGCAATATCATCTAGATTCCGTCGAGACGATCGGATCTAAATTCTGGACTTGGGTTCGTGCCAACAAATCCGTGGATGCCCATCATTTTCAAAACGCGAATATCACTGCAGACTTGCTAAGATACGTGATATGCACTTCTGATTTGCTCAATTCACAGCGCAGGATCGTGTACATTCCAGTATCGAAGATACTCGCGAAGTACGTGTGTTCGTTAGTCGAATCCACGACGAGAGGGAGAGAGAGAAGTGGGAGGGACGGATCCCTTAATCGGGGTCCATCTTTGGCCCCGCATCAAACACAATACCTTTATAGGGACAGTCGAAAAGAGTGCGACTACGATGCTCCCACGTATCCTCATTCGCTGTATATCCCAGCCATTTTTTCAAGAACTCTCTCCGACCGCGGACGTTCCTCTCTACCACCACGTTCATAGCATGGTAGAATTGATATCTTTATCCATTGAGAAGCGATGGGAGGTGCCCGTAGGGGGTGCTCCCTCTGTTTCTTCTGAGGCTGCTACACAATATCTGTCTGATTTGGAATTGCGATTGACGAAAGCAAAAAATCTTCATTTCGTGGTGCACCGGCAGATGATCGAGATGTTTGATTGGGTGTCGAGGGCGCAGAAACGCGTGAAGGGTGCTTGACGAGTCGTCTGCGAGGTCCTCGATCTCGCATAGCATCCTGAAACTAGCCTGGGGATGCAATCGAGAATCGGATTTGGCGACTGGAGCAGGCTCTGCAATTTTTTTCCTCTTGCTGCAGCTGCTACCGCTGATGATGCGTAGCCTTCCGCCAAGCCACCTCGGTCGAGTTTGGGTGGATATGCTTCTCGTAGTAATCGTCAACGCGATCACCAGCTGCTTCGTGTCGATATTCCGAGACTCGATCGTTCGTTTGGTTCCAAAGTTCACGATGATATTCGCGAAACTGAGGTGGATGCTAAGGCGACGACGCCAAGGTGCTCAAAATTTGACCTCGTGCCAAAGATATGGCTTTGAAATCGTATAAAGCTGCGTGATATCCAAGTTGAAAGTCGATAGTGTAAGCATTGTCATGGCATGACACTACTCGGAATAGACAGAAGAAGAGAGGTGATAGCTTCGAATTTACCAAGAATGAGACCGCTTCGTTTGATAGGTTCTTATTGCTAAGAAGTGCAGGATCTGCAACAATAAAATGCATTTTTTTCTTGACGATCTTGTCTATCTGCGTATTTCTTTTGTAAATATTGTGCATTGGTGATTGCATTCCGCACACGTGTGATCACGCTCACATGACGCATTATGAATGAGATAAAGGCGTCTTTGTACTTGCGCTTCACTTTCGCATCATTAATAGTATCGATTTGAGATGGAACGATTGCCGAGCACCTCCCCCACTTACTTCAGAGACATCACCCTTCGCACAAAGCGGTAATTGCGAGTGTCGCAAGCCGTTCTAAAAAATGGCGTATGAATGAACCTAATTGTTCGTTTCGAACTCGACCATTTGTAAGATTGAGCATCATCTGCAGGATTTTCTGCACAGACTTTTCCCGACACGTCACTGACCACTCGGTTGGAACGTTCTGTTTGCCCATCGTTCTCCCGGAGTACCGCTGTGGACATATCCAGAGGAGTGTCAAGCTTTCAAACAGTTCGATTTAAAATCTTTTCGCGAATTGTGTATCACTATCACCGTGATTGCGAAAATCGTGATCAACGAACAATCTAGCCGAACCATCAGCATCGATGAAATCGCTCAATGGAACGATGCAAACCATCTTTCCGAGTCTACGAGTACAGCATTGTGACCATCGACATTATGTGAAATAGAAGATAAAGTCGATTGCGGTCGACTTTCAACAGAACAGGAACAGGGAGACTCTGTAGTGGCGCTTGCGTCTGCCGTGCGCTCGTCACGCGCTAACAGACATCGCATGTCTTCACGAATCGTGCAATCCACTTGTACATTGCGGGGCCATCAATATTGGGCAGGTAGGTCTTCTGGCGGTCGAAGTGACCATATCATGCACCTCGTACACGACCTTGTGCTTCAATTCATCGTTCTGGGGAACCACAATTCATGGCTCGTCGCATGTGCAGCTTAATTGACAGGAGACCATCCTTCAATTCATAACGATGCATCCATGATTTCAAGCGACCAGGAAGCTTGTCATGGGGTTTCTTACCACTCGATGAGAGTGCCTTGATGATCATATCACACGATGCATCCTTAACATACACTCGATGTGTCATATCGAATACATCGTTTTCGATATAGCTGATATAGGCTCGCTCATAATCAGGACGACGTTTTCGGTTCGTACGCGACCGTGAAGCTGTATTCTGCGAAGAATGACAACCAGTGAGTCATCTGCTGTGACAAATGACGAGACGGAACTGCACATCGCAAGCTGGTGTGATCCGGGTAGAGGACAAACGGGGTTAAGCCTAATAAGTGAACACGACACTTCGCCAGAGCATAATTCATTGCCAAAAGCTCCTTGACGTGAACAGGGTAGTTCTTTTCTGCTGACGTTAGCTGTCACGATTGAAACGACACGACACGATCGTGTCCTTCTGAGTCCTTATGCAATAATACACAACCGATTGCAAACTCAGAAGTGTCACACGCACACACCACGCTATACAGCTTCGTATCATCTAGTAAAGCAAGTAATAGTTCTTACATCAAGCTGCTCTTGGACTGAGTAAATGTTTCTTCACACGTCGATGGGCACTCCCGTGGTACGTCCTTCTTCAATTTTGATAGTAGGTGCGACATTTCCGCGTAATTATGCGAGAAGCGATACAGGTGATTGGACAAAACAAACCATTTACTCCTATTCTTTATACTTCGTGGGGTTGGCCTATCCACGATTGCTTTGACCTTTTCAGGGTCTGCACAAATACCGTGTTCATCACACATAACAACCGAGGATCCGTACTTCGTGAGCATTGAAAATACACTCTGCAAGATTTGTTTGCAATGAATGCCCACGCATTCATTCTAGCACCACACGAATGAGGTTCAAGTGCAATTTCCGCGGCAGATCTGCCATCTTCGTCCTTCGAATGAGCACAAAAATCGTCGAAGTATGTTTGTGCGAAGTACCGCAATGGTCGAAATAGATATAAGATCAATCGATTTGATGTTGCTGGAACATTGGATAGTCCTTGTGCACAAGCGACTCCCATAACATACCGGACGGTGTACAAACAGCCGTCAAAGGGATGTCATCCTCCCTCAACAAAATTTGGTGATATTCATCGACTAAATCAAGTACACTAAACTGTGAACAGCCGGACATTCGGTAGACGAGGACGATCTTACGTGAAATCGGTGTTTGCGCGGGAATAGTCGGCGCACAAAAAACGTCGGCGCGCTGTGAGGGGACTTTCCCCCTCACCAAACTAACAGCTTGCTTTTGAGCAAAGTATTCATCGATATCCTCACGCAACAGTGGCTACTGTCTAAGCACTGAATCGTTTGAACCAGGTTCACGATCAAGTTCGTGTCGAATTCCACGTCCGGGTGGAAGACCAGAAGACGGCTTCGCACTAAGGACACCATCACTGTATTCCAGAACAAGTGGATAATAAAATCCGGTTGGGTTTTCAAAATAGCAGAGCTTTTGCGTGATCCTTACGCTGTAGCAATTCTTCGAGAACCGAATTATTCATGATTGATGATGAGCGTAAATCCGCTGAGTCGATTATCGAATCTATCAACACGACCTCCGCAATGTCATTGATGTCGTGTAAGAAATTATCGTAAGTGAGCTACACCAGCTCTTCCATCGTCGGTCACGGTGTCAAAAAACATCTGTTCTGGTAACTTCATAACCAGTCGTTGTATCCACAACGCATAGGCCAGAATATTCGCATACTATATTTCCGTCACGGGAAGTAGTACGCTGGACTAACTCACCTGCGGACTCAACCGCATCCAGAGCGCGGGTATTAGTACCGCAATTCCTTCACATATATATACTCAACCAAACAACGGATGGGAGCATCATATTTGGTGTCAAGTATACCCACTGAACCACAATCCGACTCGACGACTGTATTAGTGAAATTATTGGCATATCCAGCTGCAGTCGATTCCCTCGACTTTCTATTACACATTTGTTGGCACCATTCTTCTGTCTTGAGGGGGGCAACAACCGGCATCTCTGCCTCAAAAACTCTTTCCGTTGGGCAGATTTCCATGCTCGCCAACGATAAGTTTGTATTCAAGTGGCCAATGGCTAACTCCGGGTACCACTTGATCTATCGACACACTCCTGGGTGAACTACCGTGGTCACTCCATACGACTTTTATCTTCCCGATCGGGGAAATGTCAATTACATGACATATAACAATGAAGTGTGGATTATTACCAGCAGCATACGACTGCCGAGCGCTTGAGCGCTTCTTCTGGTGCATAGTCAATGTGGTTTAGTACTCCCAAGGGTTTCACCTATGACAGGAGAGCTGCTCTCATTTTTTTTCGAACGCCAATCAACCCCATTGATCATGCTTCTCAAGCCACGGTATGCCTAGATCCAGGTTATACCGTTTGTCCACCTCGAGGTCTGTAAGATTGCATTGCGTGAGGACTACTGTTAACGTCAAACAGTGGTCAATCAGCCAATCAGATAGAAGCAGTGATTGCTAGTACTGGAAATCTAAGATTAATGGATCTCAACGCGGTGACTGTCCGAAGGCAGCAAATTCTCTGCTATGAATGTCAGCAGTTTGGTCACACCCTCTGTGATTGTCCACGTGGAAGATGAACATCTTAATGGTTCTTGTCGTAGTAATTCCGAGCAACGTGGTACCAATATCACGCGGCGATCGGGAAACGCCGGCACCCAGTAGACTTACGGCGGTCTACTGGGGCAGTTATAAACTTTTTTGGGTGTGGGGGGTAGAATCACTCACGAGGCTTTAGACCTTGAAGAATCGTTGTATTTCGTTGACGACACGAGTCGAGGAGGCCTCCTCGTGGTTACTTCGAGTGTGAAGGGTTACAGTCGTTGTTTTAAAGTATTGGTTGACTCGGGCGCGTCGCGAAACTAGGCGCGGAAGCCAAGTAATGCTGGAAATAAATCATTGCTTTCGAATGTACTCGATAGAAGCAATGCTTATCTCAGTGAAGTTGGCCACTGGTGCGGTAGTCATCGCAAAGAAAAGCATGGGTTTTAACTATAGTATGAAGACTTTGACCGTAAGGTAGTACTCACATTGTTGTCGGGCCCTGGCGGAAGACTTCAGTCTTAGGAGGACCATAAGTGAGTCTTTACATACACACAGTAACCATCACTGCCTCTGGCAGTGGTTTGTTTGCCATACAGGAACGAAGCTCACGAAGCTTCTGTACACAGGTCGTTTACTGTACTGTTGTCTTGGCGGCATGACAAGAACTTCGACCATTGTCGAGATTCCACATTCGGCGAAAGGGACAACGATTTTATGGCCTTTTTCAACTCGTTTCATGTGACAAAGTAGCCAGAGCAATTGACTCCCCGTGTCATTTCGCATATCCATCCAAATGCAATATGGCAAAGGTAACTTGACTGCGATCATCACGAATTTGAACCGTCGCGATAGCGATGTCTATTTCTCCTTACCAAAACACAAAATTTTCGTCTTCATTATTGTAAAAGCTTTTAACCTTGATTTTCACGAGACATTTCGTGAAGGAAATCACCACCACTTGTGGTGAAGGTGACGGAACATACATCGGGATGTTCCGAATTTTTTAACTATCTTTGACCATACGCAGCCAAATTTGCTATGCGTTGATTTATCGCTTCTTGAACCAGTTGGAGAATTTTAAAGACCGCGTGATCTTGGATCTAAGCTTGCAGCTTCACCACACACTCCAATTACAAGTACGCTAAGAGCGAATATTCCTCTCTGTTGATCCGAAGGAGACTACCGTCTATGGGGTCCAAATTATCCATAGATGAATCCATCTAAGTAGTCGGCGTTGGAATGATTACAAGTGCTACCAAGTTTACCCGCCCGTATACACGCACTTAATGATGAGGGATTAAATCAGTCGACAGGCTTCACCGCGTGTTGATCACTCCCAGTGAGCCGTTGGTTTAGGTGAACAAGGAGACAGAGGTGAAGTAACATCTAATATGGCCAACAGGCTTTAAACCTCCCTAAACTGATAAATGGTTTCAATTTATATATAACGGAATTGAGAGATGTACAACTGTACAGGATATATAGTTTGCGTTAAGCACACATAAGCATGTAGTTCGCACAACATGTGTAATGGGACTGACCCCTTTGCACTACAGGAACTAAACATTACCCCGCGAGCGGTCTGTCGACCGGCGCTTTGTGAAGGACCGGCCTTTCTTACAGCTCAGTGAGCGATATAACGCTGGACGAAATTTGTGGTACTCCTGTATATATAACACTAGCGGGACCACGACGCTGCTCGTCGGCAATGATTCTAACATTCTCACTAGCTACATATTGCAACTCAAGTACCCCTTAAAATTGGAATCATGCCTTGCATTAATAATTTTCGATTCCTCGATGGATGCTGGCTGCACGCAAATGATCTCAGATAAAACGTTGCTGTACGGAAGCCTTTCATGATCACAGTATTTTCTACGAAATGCGACAATGCATCTGTTGACGAGAGCACTAAACTCTAGGATTTAGGCGAATAACACTTCTTCTGTCAGGCTGTAAATACACTTGCGGTAAGCCAAATCAAACGGTGCAAGTATTTGCAACATCTATTGCTCGATTACTTTCCGATGTGGATGACAGTAGCAAAGTGAATACTTTAACTCAAGCGGCCAAGAACGATGAAATTGTCGAAGTTTATGAAAGCGTCTCAAGGAGAGCCACAATAGAATACATATCGATAGATTGTCAGCAAATTGCTGGGACTGACAGGCTTGCCATGAGCAATAAACATGCAGTAAAAATTTGACCCCTGACACGTCTCTCAGGTGCTCATATAACTCCTTCCCGCCTGTACACTTTAGGTCACCAGTTTATAGAACACAATTAGCCGTCGTTTCGTTATCTATATGAGAATTACCTCTCGAGGAATATTCTGTAGGTCATACTGTTTGTGAGATACTCATCAATAAGGTAAACTCACAAGTTGTATCTCATGCAGATACGTGCTGTAATACAGCAGATTGTGATCTAAGGGTCACGGTGAGCGTGCCATTTTATACGTTTACTATCCAAACTACATTAGCACCTAAGCACGAAGCTCACAAGTAACGTGGTGATGTGCCGCGATCTGTTTCTACATATGAGATCGAGCAGATCGGGCTAAACAGGTGAGGTCTGTAATACGCGTGGGCTTTTAGATTCACCTACACCATTGGTCGACATATATATAATGAATATGTTATGCATGAATCTGTCACTGATTTAAAATAATTTAATTTGACTTCTATCATATCACTTTTGAGATGAAGAAGCACTTGACACCTGCTACTTGAAAAAATCTTAATTTTATCCAACGCAAGACCTTTGAGATGTGTCTGTTAATGCAGAAACTAAGTGTTGAAAGTCTCCTATGCCAAAAACACTCTGCTGCGTTTGGAAGTTATCGCGGTCTTGAGAAAACTGAAATATCGTGATAATAAAAATTTAATGTGAAGCCGTTGCACTGCGTATTATTTTTTTACTAAGGCCCGTAAGTGACTATTGCTTGCCTAAATGCTTTACATGCAACAAGCATGCACTTGTTAGACGCATCTACGAGTCGAAGCAAAACTCTGCAAAAGAGCGCCAAAAGTCCAGACCGCAGCTTTGATGCGTTAATCCTTTTAAATGTTCAGAAAGTCAAGGTATCTTTTTTGAAAACAAGATCTCTCGATCGCAGTTCATTTATAGTGCGTCGCGCTTGGCTCACGCACAAAAATTTAGACCAAGTTGCGGTGATAACGAGGCTGTATTATGTTGGAAATCAATCAAACATTAAATATCGCGAGTACTTGCACCAACTGATCAAGATAGGCGCAAGCGGTCTACGAGTTTATCTCCTTGTCAAAGGATCAAAGGTGCTGGTCTAACATCAAGAGTAAAGAGCTTTTTTAAATCGGTATCAATTACCAAATTTATCATAGG